GAGTAAATCAACGCTCAAATGGAGTTAGTAGGACCACTGTATTTGGAAAGACACAGCTCGATGATTGCTTTGACGCTGAACATGACCAGTAGATCATGATCAACAGGTTGCTGTAAAATGTAATAACTTTAGAAATTCAAGATTTCACATTCTCTGAGGCCCACAACCATAGCAATGGCATGGTGACTAACATTTACAATTCACAGCAAGAAGGTTCCAGGTTTGACTTCTTGGGCACCCAGGCTTTCTGTGCATTTCTGTGAGTTTGCATTGTCTCCCTGTGTCTGGGTGGGTTTCCTCTGGGTGCTCTCATTTCCCCCCCACCCGAAAACATGCACCAAAGGCAAATTTCTCCAGCTAAAGTAGTTCTGCTGAACAGTTCTACCTCAAAGAGCTGGAAATGGGTCCGAGGCATTGCACTGTGCCACCCAGTGCTCCTGATAAGTTGCCCTATCGGCATTGAAGGATGGGTCAAATGTGGAGGACAAATTTCCCTATGCGGACAATAAAGTGTACCTTATGAGACCCCTTATCAAGTGCTTTGACTGACTCTATCACCCTATGGGCCTGATTTCTGTGAGTTTAGGGGATGTCTGCAACTCATTTCCAACTGAAGGACAGAGGAATGAAAAAAGGCCATAGAGCAAAAGAACGCTCCTGACTTATGACTGCAGGGAGCTGTCACTGCCACGGGACAGGGACCAGGGACCAGCGAGCTGTCATTGCCATGGGACAGGGACCAGGGAGGAGGACAGATGTAAGTGTATGTTTGGTACATTTAGATACAGTAGGAGGGGCACAGTGGACTAGTAAAAGTCAATATGTTAAATGAGCAGAGTCACACTAAACGCACAGGACAGTTAACACTACTTCAAAAAATCTGAATCTAATCTATAATAAAATGGGAAGGCGCAGTTCAACTGTTATAGCAGTAATATGTGTACCTTATTTGGTTAAAGCCTGCGTATTAACTTTAAAAGAAGAATGTCCAAACAGAAGTTACACATATGCTGTACCTGTTTATCGTTTGTTGGGGACTGGCTCCACAAACTCATTATATTGATCTTAAGATTAGTGCTCTGTATTCTCTCTACAATACCATCTGATTCATTAAATGAGTTGTAAACCCTAGTTAATTTTGCAAACAAGGACTCAAATGGTCAATTTTGGCTTCAGATGGATATGCCCATAAGTGTTTTAACCATGTCATAGCATTTCACAATCATTTGTTTTCTATGAGATGTATTTCAATCAATTCTGTATTCCTGCATTGTCTTGCATTCAAGGCTTGAGTGCTCAGAAAAAAAAAAAACTGTCTACACCCTATCCCCGCCCAATGCTTAGTAGATACATCATTTAATACCTGAAATTTGTATATGTTGGGTCATACACAGATGTTAAAAAAGTTTAATACAACGTAAATTAATTTCTCCAGCTCTATACTGTAAAATGCTGCTATGAAGAGGTGGGCAGCAGCAGAAAATAAATTCTGCAGTTTTGTAAAAGTTATAAAGTGTAATCCTTTTAGAAAGCTGACATCACATGAACCCAAACAAGCCTCCAACACATATGAGCTTTAACAACTAAATGAGAGCGGTATTTACAGTAAAGGACTTGCAACCTGTCTGTCCCCTCACCAGTCTTTCCATCAGCTTGTGTTTTTCTCTGAGCTATAGCCAGCCTGTTGAACCGAAACGCACAGGACAAGGCTGCTCAAATGATGGTGCTGTACGGGCACTTGGATGGTGCCGATGGGCGGGCTGTTGACCGGCCAAGCTAATTTCACACTCCCCTGGTACCCATAATGCCTCCAGAGTTACTAGGGGCGTAAACACAAGGTCAAAGAGAGACACGCGGGGAGAGAGGCAGAACTGTGGAAGTGACACCACACTCTAACTGAGCCTGCTGTAACTGTATCATGTCTAAACAACACATTAGGAGCTGTCATATGTTTAAGATTAATCCTACATTGTACAAGTCCATTTTGCAACCCAAATTAATATAATATTTTTATCATTGTATGTAGCCTGTGCTTTCTGTTTTAAAAAAATGTATTACAATCAAAGATGAACCTAGGTTGTAGGTCCCTTAACCTGCAGATATTGGAGAACACATGTATGTTTTTCTCATTCTCAGTATATTCCTTCATTCATTCCTTTATTCAGGATAAAACTTGAGAAACCTTGAGATTCAAAATCTTTGAAAACGGTGTCCTGGCCAAGTAACTGCAGCATGAATATGGACAGATCATGCCTCATGTGAAAGCTCAGAACCTCCAAACTTCACCCCCTGAGCTGCAGAGGCTGCACAGACTCACGATTGGCTGCCAGTGCTGGGGTTTGGGTAGTGACCATTCAGATCAGAGAGTGGCATTTTATGTTTAAAACAACTGGATGTCAGCATTGAGACTGGCAACCCAAATGACTAAATGATCACCTTTAGAACAAAAACATCAAATTATATTCAACATAAACAACTTGGCCATCATGTCCAATGATGTCATTAAGAATAAATATCAGTATAGCATTTGTTATCAGTAAAAGCTAACAGGTCTACCTTATACCTGGGGACACACATAAATCAAATTTATAGCATTTCAATTCAAAATCTTGCGTATAGTTAAGCTTTCTACCATGTTATAATGTTGTTCCCTCATCAAAAATATATTTATATGTTATTCATGCATGACACTAATAGAACACTCCTTACAATTAGCTGTAAGAATCTGTGCAATGCTCAGTCCACTAGCCTACATCATTCATGCTCCCATGTGACAATTCTCCATAAATATACAAAAACTATGCAGCAAGTTGACAAACCTAATGCAATGTGCAGTTCATTAGCAGGATGCACGCTGATTGTGTTGTGATAACGCTGTGAAGAGGGGGTGACTTAATGTGGAGAACAAAGGGAGGGGACTTAGAGCATCAAACACGAAAGTGAAACTTATAAAATATGTTAGTACATTGTCTGCAGCAAATATAACTTTTTAATACAATAAAAGAGAACATAGTGATGTAAAAATGCTATGTGCTATCAGTTAATAACCCAAAGATACTCCCTCTTTAAAATCTGAATAGACTTTATACATTGGATTACCAGCAGGTAATACATCAGTTATTATTATTGTTAAAAAGTTGTTAAAGCTCTGCTGGTTTCAAATATGCTAAATTTGAATTCACAAACACTCACTCATCCACATTGCTGAATGTTATGGCAGGGAAAGCCTTGTTTGTATGCGCATATGATTTAATAAGAGCTGCTGTTTGTCCTGTGAGTATGACTCCTCCGATGAATAAAAGGCAGAGAGAGAGTGGATCCCAGATGGATGGAGCGCAGTGACAGCAGAGTATTAGAGGAGGACGGGAGGGTGGAGGGAAAAGTGGAGTGGTGTTGTAATGCAATCCCCCTGTCAGCCATCACACTGCTGCTCCTTCACAAACACAAAAATCACATCAGGTATATGCTCCACGCGCTATACTGCTGACATATGAGCGCAATCTAACCGCTTAGCTAACCCGCTCCCATCCACAACCACGAGATGTGATCAGAGTCCTGGTTTAGTGAGCAGTTTGTCTAATGCTAGCAAATTATAGTGGTGCAAGTGGGTGTCTAGATTTATGCATCAATCCATTAACAGCCTGGTATCCTCAGGTATTACTCACAGCACTAATTTCTGTATACTCATTTAAGCAAGTATCAATACTAAAAAAAAGTCACATTCATAGGACAGAAAATATTTCTTTTCTGAACAGAATGATCTTGAGCTGTATCAGAACAAGTATAAGAATACATAAACTATTATATGCCCACAGACCACTATAGGAGAGATTACGCAGATATAAGGCCTAAAGTCTTTTAGTTAGTTAATTTGTCACTGGTGTCCTAGTTGACCAAAATTGTATAAGTTGTAGTGTGGTCGGAATACTAAAATTTTAAACTCAAACGAAGGAATAGGCTCAATACTCAGTACTGATTCTGATACCACAATGATAAATAATTAAAAAAAGTATTCTTTGATGTAATTTTCGGAATTAAATAATAATATTGTACTATCTTTTATATTATCATGTGGCCTTATATCTGTGTAATCCCTCAGTTGTCCAGGTATACTTCATAGTCAGCGTATATTAGTCTATGTGGTATACCACTATACCATTTCTGATATAGGTCAAGATCATTCTAAAGCTATTGAGGAAAGGTTCATTTCTGTTCTGTGAATGTGATGTTATCAGTATCAATACCTGCTCAAATTAGTATCTTGTTGCGATACTAGTTTTAGTACCGCTTAGTATCTGATATTCAATACTTTTGACAATTGTTGTCTTGCAAGTACAGTTTGGGTCAGATACATGTAAATATTTAACTTGTTATTTGGGCTGCTTCAATTGCACATATTGACGTACTCTTCCTCACACTGAAGTCTTCATTCAGTCCCTATGGTGATAATTATAAGGCTCCTTCTGTTTTAGCCAACACCCCCAGCACACAAGAGACAAGTAAGCTACTGCCCTGTGGCCTGCCAAGTGAGAAATACACAAAAACTATTACGTTCAAAAAATTACTTGATGACTTTTTGCACACTAAAGTCAGAGATTTGAAGAAGAAATTCTGTCTTGAATGAACTTTTCAACCAGAGTAAAAAAACAACAAAACTATTACATGATTAGGGACTGTCCAAAAGTATCAAATTCAGATACTAAAACTAGTCTTAAAACTAGATGGACCATGGACCACTGTGGAACATACAAGGATGACTGAGGGATTACACAAATATAACACCATGTGGTACTATTATTTAATGTTGAAAGTTGTGTGATACTTGAACCTCAAGCAAGTCAGCATATTGTTATTGATATAAGGCAAATAAATATTGAGGTATTAATTTCTGTCAATATCACCCACCTCTAAAGCACAGATAAAAAAAAAAAATAACAGGAAGAGGAAAATTTAACAAATAGAGCTTTTATGATGCTCAAACAGAGTGCATATGAGCAGACCTGAGCCGCCCTCTCTGGCTGTGTGCATGGGGGTACCCGTGGCTGTGGGACCTCCTGGGCACCGGCCTGTCGTCCTCGTGGGGGTGGTGCAGGGAGGGGGAGCGTGAGTGGGACGATCGTGAGCTGCCCGTGCTCTGGAGGCTGCTGTCTGGCATCTCACCATGACGGCTCTGAAACACAGAAGAACAAAGGGACATTTTATTGATTTTGGGTATATTAGCGTTGCCATTTCATCCTTTGTCTGACTTAAAATGAGACTAAACACCTTAACTTCTCCCACAACCACATTTCAAATAGAGCTGTTAAACTGGGCAGTACCTAAAGAAAAACGTGAGGAAGAGGAGCGGGGTCTAGACATATAACGAACAGTGTGGTTGGTCTAACAAGTATCCACACTTCAAACTCCACCACTGCACAAACACTTGGCTGTAATCAAGAAAGTACTGTGTGATGTCACGTAGTCCTGTACTTGAAATTGCAGTGGCCACTGAAGGCAGCACATACTCAGTTTATAATTATTTTTGACTAGAAAGCTGCCTACCTAGTTTGCACTAAAATTGCCAACAATTACTAGGAATAGTTTAGTCCCTCTTTAAATGTAGTGTTTTGTGCAAGTGTGAATGCAACCTAAAACACAAACATAGGTCCATTAATATAACATTCACACACCTAAAACAAAATAGGAATAGATGTAAATGAAAAGTTACTCTTCTTTGTGATATGCAAACCATATCACTGCAAAAAAGTAGAAAAAAAGTCTCTATATCAACACATCCATTCAGGCAGCCTTACCTCTCCAAGGCTACTGTGGTGCTGGCTGAAAGCGGGCAGGCTGCGCAGGGAGGGGACTGGGGAGTGACCCTGGCGCCCGCGGATCTCTCGAGGGACGTGAATGTGCTCGTGGTGGTCTCCGTTGAGATTGTTGTCGCTGGCGGAGCGGAGCAGGGAGCGTGGGGAGGGCAGCGGGCCAGGCATCACGCGTCTGCGGTTTGTGTAGGAGGGGGTCTCCCTGAAAGGCACTGGGGAGGATAGACACATGCAAGGCCTCAGAGACAAGTATATTCTGTTCTTAAAGTCTGTCAGAGCAGACAAAGAACACACAAGGGCAGACTGAACTAGGAGCTTCAACAGGGATACAGTTACACGTTATTTTGTATTAAAGTACTTGAGAATAATGATAGTTCTTATAAATTTTATTTTCTTCATGGAGATGTTACCCCTTTTTCATGGAATATCCTCCATACGGTATTAAACTTATATATTTCCATGCAAGGAAAGAAGAAAAAAAAGTAAAAAATATCACATGGGACTGAAAAACACTGTGGATTTCTGCACATTCATTGAGCTAAGCACTAAACTGTCTGAGGTGAGAGAAATGTGATTTTGTTTATAATTGATAATTAGATCATGACAATGAGTGCCTTTTTTTTACATGTCACTAAAATACACACATCTAATTGCACAAATATTTTTGGTTCTAGCTCAAGACACAACAGATGGAGTGGTGACCAGACTGATATCCCTGTATAAAAATACAAAGGTGCCTATCAATTACAGGTCAGATCTGCGGAGAGACGACCCTACTCACAATAAGAATGCTTGCTTTTCAATTATGTTTGTGTAATAAAAACAGCTGTAATTGAATAAATGCAAGACAGATAAGTTTAATATCTTGCTGTGAGTGGCATATTCAAGTAATAACATCTCAAGTTAAGCAGATGCTGGACCCCAAAAAATGTACATATAGCTTTAAATTTCAAAATACAACAATAAAACTGTTTAAAAATGTTAAAAATAAGTAACATGCACCTTTTAGTTTAATCTTTCCGTTTCATTTCTAGCTGTTATGTTGTATGTGCTCATGGTTGAAGACATTAGTTCTTACTCAGGCATTTTATCATTAATCATTTTGACAGTAAAAATAGTTTGTTACTGAATTGGCTTTTTAAGGGCATAGATAGTATAACTCCATTCATCCCTCATTTTGCCCATAATGACAGTAACCATGTAAATTCTCAGACTTCAATATAAAAAGCCTTAATCAGATTAAAATTACAGCAATGAGATAAAGCCTGTTCTTTTCACAGTCTTATCTGGTGAATAGGACTAGCGGACATAACGCTTGATTACGCCTCATCTTTCTGCCTTGTAAAAAAGATGAACTGGAGATAATTTTACAATAGCAGCATTACAGCGCACACTATTGTTCACTATACTGAAGATATCAGATATCAGATATACAGAGGTAGGCTAAGTAGACAAACATTTTACTCAAGTAAGAGTAACGTTACTTTAAAGCAATTTGAAGGACTAAACATTAAATAATGCACACAATCTGGTATTTTCAAAGAATAGACATATTTTAAGGAGCTGTGTAAGAAGAGTAGAGTGGGAAGAGAAATCGAAGCTTTTACTCAAGTACTGTGCTGTACTAATAAAAATATTAATTGTGAAATATGAATCAAGTCTCTTTAAAAAGTTACTCAAGTAAATGTAATTGAGTATTACCTACCAAATGCAAATATATGAAGCAAGGTGTATGGAATTATGTAGTAAAGAAAAGATCAAGCTCATTCTAAAGCTGTTCAGGAAAGGTTCATTTTTGTCCTGTGAATGTGACTTTTTTAAGTATCAATATCTACCTAAATGAGGATCTCGTTTCTAGGCCTATACTAGTTTTAGTATTGATTAGTATCAGATTTTCAAGTTTTGACAACTCTAGCCTTGTCAGGGTCAAGAAATGCCAAGACTGTGCAAAAGAGTGATCAAAGCAAAGGGTGGCCAATTTGAAGAATCTAAAATCCAAAACATGTTATGTCACAAATTTTTGTTTACTAATTTCCTTATTATGTGTCCTTTCGCAGGTTTGATGCCTTCAGTGAGAATCTAGTAAATAGTCACAAAAATAAAGACCTTAAATGAAAAACTGTGTCCAAACATTTGGCTGGTAGTGTATAAGAAAGTTATTCCACTGAGCTGGCACTAGATGGCAGAATTTCCCACATGTTCATGTTCAGTAGACGGCCCTTATCTCAGCAGGGATCCACCAGAGCTGCCTCTCATCCATTCTGCACACCACATTTCATCTCTTCCCTTCATTTTTGCTCTCTGCACGCTTTAAGCTTTCAATAATTTACAAATTGCTGTCAACTCACCAACATCTGATGCTTTGTGGACCTTTATAATCTCAGCCAGATCAAAGTTTCCTGCAATGATGGCCACCTAAAGGTTTGAAAGAGAAAGAGAATGTATTAGGTTACATTATTAGCATGTATAATGAATATTTGACAGCATAATGTGTAGTGTGAGTGTTAGTGATGGCTGTTAACATGGTGAGGAATGGCACAGCTTGTGTGTGTACAAATAAATGAGTGCTAATTGATGCAGGAGAGCCGTGTCAGTGTTCATTTCATACAGGATTATTTCACTGGAAAGACTAGATTGCTAAAAATGGTTATATATTATTTAAATTCGCATGTGTCTCTCATTCTAAGTGCAGTCTTCAAACCAAAAGAAACTTTAACAAAACAAACAAAAAAAGAAAATAAATTAAAAAAAATGTCAAATGTATTGTGTGTTGTCATAATACTAAAATTTCAGTCACTGGGATTTGAGATGCCACAGTGGTCTGTTGTTGTGTCTTTAAGCAAGACACTTCACCCACATTACCTAGTATGAATGTGGTATATGTGGTGGTGGTCGAAGGGGCAGCTGGCACACATTGCTAGCCTTGCTTCCACCAGTCGGCTGTGGCCTCAATAGTATCTTACCACCACCAAGTGTGGAGTGACTGGCTAATGCACAAAACTGGAAAGCGACTTTGAGCGACCCTAGCAAACTATCAGAAATACCATGAAACTTCAATTCAGTTCAATGCTCAAATACAAACACTTTTCACCACCCACTCCTCCTATTGGTCAGCGTCTGTCCTGCTCTGACTGACAGGTTGATTTAACCAATCACAGTTAACTTTCAAAAATAGCTAAAAATAATAATTAACACTGTATAAAAGAAACTTAGAAAACATTAAACATAAAGCTTATAGATAAGATAGATAAGAATATAATTTTTTTTAGCATATCACCTACCCCTAGTCCAACATCAGAACAGACAAAATTACTAAGATTAAATTTAAGAATTCATAACATTTTAACAACAGCATATATTCCTTTTTGCAGAGTACATACTGTTGAAAACCACTGTACTGAGTTAAAGTCTCCATTGCGTTCTTAAGTTATTCAAATGCAGCTTCTTTTCATCTGGCCGCTCCATTGATTCTCACAGACAGAGAGAGAGAGAGCAGTGATGTTACTCATACCTGAAAGGCCGTCTGACTGTTGTAGTTCTTTATCTCCTTATTGGCTCCTCTGAACAGAAGCACCCGCGCACAGCTGTCCTAGAAGCAAAGAGACAAGGCACGACACAGTGTTAGCTAGGTGATAAGTTCCTTCATAAAAAACATTCATTAAGATAAAACAATGAAAAAAAAATCCAGCATGTTTTCGGTGTAACATTATACTAGGGTTACAAGGGCCATTTAAATGCAACATGCACTCTGACATGACTTACACTGTATCATAATTACTTCAAATCATAACATCTAACATGGGCAAACCAACAGCAGTGATTTGTCAATACTCATTTCACAGTCCATTATCCTTAACTCATTCCATGGCATTACTCAACTGTGCAGTTTAAAGTAGAGTTTAAATCAGACACAACAGGACTGCAGATGAGCCATATAAATCACATCCACCTGAATACATCGTGTGCACTGAGCAGCACACACAGATGTTCTCATTAGGTCAAACTCAGGCTTTAGTGAGACTGACTTTCAGTGAAAATGAGCTCACTGCCCCCAGGCTAACCCAGCTGTGGAGGGGGACAGAGGGACACTATTTTGACTAGCTTCCAGGTTCATATGCTTTTTAACCATTAGCATTCATTAATTCATTAAAAAAGGAACTAGGAACAAACAAGTGTACACAAAGCTATTAAAACACCATATGTACAGTTTAGTAGTGTTTTCACAATACTAAAATTTCAAACTCAATTTCAACACTAAGGAATCAAATCTAAAAAAAAACCCTAATTAATATACCACTAATATTTAGCACTTCAGAATATTCTATTTCCATAACAGCTTATATGCTTTTTCAAATGAGACAGCTTAAAGTGCACGCATTTAGCCTTCTGCTGCACTAACTTGTGTACACACTCGCACTGCCCAATTACAGTTGCGACCATCTGTCTTGCTCCTTTCTTGCAGCCTCCCTATAGGAATTCATTAAGAATGTGTTTGAGGAGCTCAGTGCGTCCTAGTGCTGTGGCTGCATAAGAAGTCACAGCCTTTACAGTAATGATGCCGGGCATTGGAGTGGAAACAGGACCGGCAGATGTCTTCTCTCATCGTCACGTTTCAGGGTGATCTCAGGAGGTTTGGAACAGGAGTGGTTTCATATTTAGCACTACTGCACAATTATGCCTGAGTTACGTAAGATTACTTAAGAATACATGAAAGAATGAATAGGCATCTACAGGGACCACTCCAAAATCTTCCATGGTGGGGCTTTAAGTAGTTACTAAGTCTTCCTATTTATTTTTCATATTTGTCCATTATGAATGTCTTTGTCTTTGTCTTTAGTCATGAGATATTGTGCTTGTATCTGCTATATAGTTGTAATCTACGACTCCAGTTGATTATTATGTCATAATTTGGAAATTTAAATCACAATATTGATCTTAAAAAAAAATAAAAAATTATAAAAAACTGACGTTGCATCAGAAAACAATGCCCAGTGGGTGCTGAAGTTGCCGTAAACGTAATCACAATAAAGATCAACAAACAGCTTTCACTTATGCATAGCTGCAGATCTCACTAGCAAGTAACAGATATAGATGTACCAAAATAACTATGTGACACTGGGAAATTTTACACATATTACTGATTAAGAAAATTAAATTGGAGAACAAAGTAAGTACAGAGCAGTGGGCGTGTGCTAGTGGTGGTGAAAACAAGAGTTGACTGGAGCAATGACATCTTGAATACAGGGAAATAACCATGCATGAATCACTCTTTCACTAACTTTGAGAGGGGAAATGAGGGGAAACAAGTATATCATGGTTAAAAGCTCTAAAAAGTAGATTTTCCATAATAGGTTCACATAAAGGAAAATTAAATTGTATTTATTATAGTGTTACCACACAGCCTCACTCAAAGATAGAATCTGTAATTAGATTGTCTGACCTGCCCCCGTTGTATTTACTTATCACTCTAGATGCTACGTTACTGTAGTGTGATAGTGTGGCAGCTTTGGTTTGACAGTACAAGACCAGAGAGCACAGGTGAGCCTGAAAAAAGGTCAGGTGAGGGGCAGGTTTCACACCTGCAATCTACTAGTGAAACCACAATCAAAAATTCAAATAGACTTACAGAAGGTAGCTTTAAACCTCATGTTTTCTCTGTTAGCACAAATGAACTAAAGTGAAACTTTTTCTATGGGTTATTCAAAAGAGGCTGTGTTATTCAAACACATTGGGTTGTTGGCAATTAAAAGTGAATTAAAACTCCAACATTGCAATATGAAAAATGTGTGGATCCAATCCTTAACACATATTATTAGGCAACAACTGTGAACTTTCTGTTTGGTTATTAGTTTCAAAACAAATAATTCAGCTTCTTGTTATTTTTCAACATTTTTGAGCATTCAAAAGATATAATATTTTGTAGTTAATTGCTATGGTAACGGCCATAATTTTTCATAATTCTGAAACCAATTAATAGCATCTGCTCTACTTCAGATTATATATCAAACTAATTATTCTCTCATGCTCTAATTAGAACTAAAAGATTAAAATTGTGAGAAGTTTAAAAACAAAAATATGTGATTTCAAGTTAATCTATACTAAGCCTAAATATAAAGTACTTTTTTTCTCTGACTGTCTATGCCACATTAGCTTTCAATTATAATTCATAAATATATTATCAAGCATTGATTAATCCTGCATATGTATTTGTCAAATTCATTCATATTTTATTCATTTAATACCCTATTTACAGCAAAATTAAACTTTGGCTCTTTAACTGACAAGCTGTGGCTGTAGTGAGCACATTAGCTTTTCTTCGCTGCTAACAGAAACACAGCAAAGAGAACTACGGAGCAAAAGTAATTAGAAATATTTTTTTATTACAATTCATATATCTTTTAAAAGCATTCATAGTATAAATGAACACAAATTAAGGATTTCATTGCTGGGTATCAATAATTGCTAAATTCTAATTCAAATTCTCATAATAATTGAAACACTAAAATTTGACATCCATTCTTGAACACAACCTACCTAATTTAAAACTTAAAGGTCCTATATTACACACATTTGACTCTTGACATGTTATGTTGTTACATCATCAAAAACGTACCTGGAATTGTGTTTTGTTTCATTCACGCATGTTTGAGTAAGCCTTTATTATTAGTCTGTCTATATTTCCACAGTTCAAAATGTGTTGTTCCAAGTTAATAGCTACCTTTTAGCTGAAATCCACCAAATGATTTTAGTGAAGGTGTATGGAGTTTTAAACCACAGTGGAGAGTGTTTTCTGTTTGAGAGAAGAACTCAACCTAAATATGTAGAGTTTGTGCATAAAACATGTGAATGAAACAAAACACAACTTCAGGTATGTTTTTGAAGAGGAAACAATATTAGAACATATCAGAAAATAGCGTAATATGGGCCCTTTAACAGACATTATGTCTCTCATGTTCTACCCCTCAAGTCTCTGCCTCCTTGTAGAGCGTGTCCTCTCTCGGGACTATTGATGTTTGAGACTACACCATTAGTTTGAGTTAATTCAGCCGGCTCCCTGCCTTCTCTGATCGAGTGTAATCATCTGATCCAGGCCTGTTTCCCGCTTCCTGGAGCCCTGCTGTGTCTGCGATCAATCAGCCCTGCACCTGAGACCACCAGACACTACCACACCACAGTACCATTACAGTTTCATACATGCGACTTCTAATTAAATTGGGTATTAATTATGCTATGAACATGTGTGATGAACCAGTGAATGCGCTATGGCTCTGGTGACTGTGATGTGTGGAGGTGAAGTATTGATGAGTGCGCTACCAAGGTTTTTAATCAGGAAATGTGCATTGAAAACTACCACCTTATACTGCTCTTTAGTGGTGCAGATAAAGCAGGGCAAGACTCAAGAGTAGAGATAGACATTGTATCATGAATTAACTAGTTTAGTCAATTCATCAATTACGTAAGGGTAGTTTAGTACTTTAAACTAACAAAATAAGTCAGCTGTGTATTGTCTGCATCTAATTAAAAAGCATTTTATTGTTAGATAATCAGGTCAAGATCAAATGTGCATTCGCAGGTGTGTTGATGTTGTCTTGGTCTCTGAGAGTTGTGAAAAGCACTTATAAACTCATTGTGGTAAATTGTTTGGATGCTCAGATTGCATACGGCAAGTGAGGAATAACTCTGGACCACTGCAAACTGTTTTAAATTAACGCAATGCAAAAGTTTCCAAAAGAGCTGAAATACACTCTTTAAATGTGGGTAGCTGTAATATTCTATGAGAGTGGACACAGACTGAAGCATGGGGACAGTTGGTACCTGGTTGTAGAGCGCACACACATGTAGAGCCGTGTTCCCAGAGGCGTTCTGAGCACTCATGTCAGCCCCATAGAACAGCAGGTGCTCCAGGTGCTGCACATGACCATAGCGGCACGCCTGAAGACAACAACACAAAAACAACAACAAACGTGATTAGACAGAAGGATTACTTCATGCCCATCTTGATTTTTTATGTTTTATTTCTGAGCAAAGGCTAGATATATGACAGCTGATCTTTAGTTGAAAAATACATTTCCCCACTGGGAACAGAAATAAAGTGACATATTCTACAATTTTCTTTCTTTCTTAAGGGAACTATATGTAGCCTGCGCTTTTACAGTTTTAAAAAGGCACTACAATCACAACTGAACCTCCGTCGCCAGTTCTTTAACTTGCATATAGAGGACACATACAAGCTTTTCTCATTTTCAGTATATGGACAAGCTTCTTGTGAAGAATCACTCACTGAGCTGTACTAGCACTGGTTAATGATTGGCTGCAGGTACTGGAGTTTAGGTAGCGAGGATTCAGATCATAAAGGGCCCTCTGAGGTTTAAACCAACTGGATTTTGCATTGGACCTGGCAGCTCAAATGAGAGGCTCACTCAAGGTTTCTGAGAGACAACTTGGCCATCATGCCCAATGTTTTTGTAATGTTGATATAAGATTAAATCAGCATTACAGTTGCTATCAGTGAAAGCTATATTTTTTAGTTGAACATGTCTACCTAGTATCTGGGGACAGTTAGATCATGTTTATTGAACTTAAACTATAAATCCTACATACATAAATTGTTTCATTCACATCGATTGAAAGCTATACATTTTGGTCTATTAATTAAACAAAGAATGTAATCTCCACTAGAGCCCGACCGATATATCGGCTGGCCGATATTATCGGCCAACATGGGCACCTGGAGACATATCGGCTATCGGCCGATATGCTTGCTGATATTGGCCGATATTTCACGTGGGCATGTTATATCTCGTTATAAAGCTTAGACTCTCTACATTATGTTCATTTAATCCAATTTACAGACAGATAAATGTCCGAATATGTGGCTCCGCATCAGTATTTATCTACAGTGTAATTTGTCCGGGAGCATGTTTCTTATTGGGAGCCGTGTTTTCTCTTTTTCTCACTTTTTCTCTTCATGCCGCATGTAGACCCGTAGTTTGACAGCAGCAGCGGCTGAAAACGAAACTTTCAGAAATCTGCGTGTGCATAGGATAAAAAAAGTGCATATTTGGCTGCAGTTCAGCATAAAATGAATAAACCAGGACTAATCTTGGGCTCGAGTGCAGGAGAAATATAGAAACCGAGTCCCGACACTCAGTCCTGGTTCAGTTCTGGTTTAGTCCTGCTTGCAACAAAACAATCTCAAGAGTCGCTTGGGAGCCGAAAGAGCCAGCTGCTTTAGTGAGCCGAGCCGGTTCTCCAAAAAAAAAAAAAAAAACTGGAATACCTATCACTAGCAGTGACAGTAACAGTAGCTAGAATGTGATGCAAAAATGCCATTAGGCCAATCTACTGAATGTAAATATGATGTAAAGAGTCAAAATAACAATAAATGTTGCCTAAATAAACCCGATTTAGAATTCACTAGAGCCAAACCTAAGTTTTTTAATCAATTCAAGATTTACAGCGAATTTTTACATCACTAAATATATCGGCGATTATATCGGCTATCGGCAGCCCCAACTCCCATTATATCGGTTTCATATCGGCCACAACAAAATCCATATCGGTCGGGCTCTAATCTCCACTGCTTGGTGTGAGACTTCATCACCCCCTCTTCACATGCACAGCCAGAGCGTATCTTTGATTTTAATTTCATCTGACTAGAATGATGGCTCACTCAGTTCCTGGTTTCACAGATGTGAAAGCAATGGACTTCTCATCTAATCTCTTTGTCTGCTTTCCTCTGCCTCCCTCCTGCTCTGGTGTAGTCCCGTGTCACTGTGCCTGGGCCAAAGCATTGTTCTCTGTCTTGTGTGTGCTATGTGGGTCTTGGTGTTTGTGACAGCAGAGAGATGGTGCACAAATGGTCCTGGGATTGCTGTTGCTTATCGCAGGGCGGGATAATATGGAGGGCAATGACAATACAGCTGGGATTGTATATACTCAGAGTCAACTATAAACAATACATATCAGACATTAAATATGGCTGTGGAAAAACAGCTGCTGGGGTAATAACATATGAGTAGTACATCTCACAGCATCTGTCACAACATCATTTCTGTTAACTGGTATATGCGCGTTTTCTAGATATGGCCAGTGAGCTATAAATGGAATAAACTAGATAAGAAAAAGGAAGACCTTGGCCCATAATACACTATTCTTATCTATGTTATAATGTTGTTACCTCATCAAAAACATACCTGGAGTTGTGTTTTGTTTCATTCACACATACTTAACAAACAAATCCTGTATATTTAGGCTAAGACACTTTTTTAGGCTGAAAATGATGTCATGTGGTATCACAGGAAGTGCTCCACTATGTTTTTAAACTCCATACATCTTCACTAGAATCATGTGGATAATTTCATCCCAGAAAATGCCAGTCTTTACTGAAGTAAAGGTAAAATTAAGCTGTTAACTTGAAAACTACCATTTCCTGACAGCACAAGGTGGAACAGAGCAGACTAATAATGAAGGGTTACTCAGACCTGAGTGAATGAAACAAAACACAACTCCAGGTATGTTTTTGAGGAGGTAACAGCATTAAACCATGGCTAAAAGCTCAAAAGAGACAATTTAGCATAATATAGATTTGTGATTAGGTATTAGGCAAGATCTAATGCGACAAGATCTTGCAAGATAAAATTGTTACAAGATTGTCTACATAAAAAAAAAAAAAAAAAACTCCATGTTTTGTTTCAGAAAAAAAATGGTTAAGTACTGGTGAGTTATACAATTTATTTATTCCAAATGGTGTCAAAATCTGGCCTTGTTCTTGTGGACCAAATCTTGTGTCTCGCCATGGGAACTGCATCTTATCCCACCCTTATTTGTCAAGCTGATTTCTTATATCTGTTTGTTACAAGATCCTCAAATTGAATTTAACTTGCAGGGAAGTTCAGAAAATTACTTTTCACTTTTGTAAAACAGAATTATAAAGTATATTTATCTATGTCTGTGTTTATTTTATCTGTGCAAACATACAGCCGCCTCTGTAATTTTATCGCTTTTCTATCTCCATTTGAGCTCATCAGTGTGCTTAAAAAGACACATCTGATGCACTGAGGATAAACTGGGAATGACACAGTGGCTGCGGTTACTAACACACCCACAATCTGATCATTGGAGTTGTATGATTACTAAAATGACAAGTAAACAGCAAAATCTGATGGGAGTAATCTGATTTGCTTCTCACAGTGGTTCTCAGATTACTCACATTAGAGTTTGTGGTTTGCATTTCATTACAATAATATGACAACCGCAGAAATCTGTTAATATCTTTTTGAGATTGAGGGATTGAGGGCTTTGAAAAATGATTAGTGTTAAGTATTGTTTATTCTTTTATATTGGACTGATGCAATGTTGGTATATGATGAAAAGTTAAAACCATACTCCGGAACATTCCCATGAAGATAGATGAGAGCTTTATGCCATATTGTGGAAGGTTATAGCCAAAATAACAACATTTCCATGGAAACAAATAGCCCTCCTCCAGGCCAAATAAGAGTCAGGTTTGTGGAGATGTAAGCGAGCTAAGAGTAAAGACGTTTGTCGGCTCAACATGAAACAACACAGTTTACCTTTTGGCTAAAAAATTACATACTGTGTTTTTAAAGGTGCATTATGTAACTTTTCTAGTAGAGGGTCTGCCAGTTGCTTGTTTTCATGGAGATGTTACTGCTTTGCCTGCAATGTTACAAAGTATGGCATTAAACTTATCAATCCCCATAGGACAAGTAGGAGACACCACCAGGCTTATTTACAGGTGAGCTCTGTGAGAAGGCGAACCCACTCACAGTCAGAATGCATGTTCATAAAAGGTATTCTTGAGCTATAAAAACAACAACTGAATAAATACATCTTATATAAGTTTAATACCATATGGATGAACATTACAGGTAAAGCATTAGCATTTCCATGGTGGTGGAACCTGAAAAATTTGCATCTTTAAGTTCCACTATATGCTTGTATTTGTTCAAATTGGGCAGTACATTTTCTACATTTTTTCTACATTTGCCTTGTTCGTGACCCTTTTCACTCTAAACTCTTCTATCCCAAAAAAGCCTGACACAAAGCATTACAAAGGCATAAGCTGTTATTATGTTTACAGAACAAGGGGGCGCCTCGGGCCTTAAACAAATGAACAATATGCTGTGTTTGCTCTTTTTCAACACAAACCAATTTCTCCAGCGCCTGTACTCTGCCCACTAGTCCAGTCCAGATACAGCTATAGCACCTTCAGCTTTCTATGTGGTAATCAACACACAATTATAGAAATATGGAACAACAATAGTCAAATGCTCTGGTTTAATATTGCATGCTGGCGAGGCTCGGGGTATTGTAGAAATGCAACCAAGTTATTATTTTTGTCATAATGGTGGATAATGGTTAAATAAGAGTGCGAGTTTGGTGGAGCAAAGGATCATGGTCTATGTAGTTGCCATCTCAAAAACAAAAAATAATAATAACAATAAGCACAGTTGTTAATAAAAAAAACAACAACAACATCTTTTTACTTTACTTTTACTTTTACTTTACTGTATAGTACCAAGTACTATCTGTACATTTTGGTTGCAATACCTGGAGTATCTGATAGTACTGTACATGTAAACATTGTAGTACCTGATGCATACTCTGATAGTACAGTACATGTAAGTTGTAAAAGTTTTAGTACCTGGTGTATCTCCTGCCAGCCGTTCTCGTCCACACAGCCCACTTGTGCATGGTCATGCAGTAGCAGTTCACAGCAGTACGGGTCTCCTCCCACCATGGAGCTGTGGTACAGAGGAGTCAGGCCTCTGCTGTCCTTATAGTCAGGGGATGCACCCAAGTCCAACAGCGTCTGCAGACACACATACCGGCAAAGAAAACATAACCATCATGCACATCATTCATCCAAACACGCACAATAAGGCACATAAAAGGCCATTAGCTGACCATTGAACGTTTTCCATGTCCGAGAGCTTTTTTACCCAATTCCAAGCACTTTTACTGCACTGAGCAGGTCCTCCTGAGGTCGCCTGTGTTCACACCTGTGTTCCAGAATGTGACTGCTGAGTTCACCACTCTCAGAGCAAATTCTCTTTTATGTAGACCTAACTAGTGACAGTGTAAAAATGAGCTTAGTCAGGCCTCTCTTAGTTCCAAAAACGTCACGATTATTGGGTTACTAAATTAGTTAACAATTATGTCAATAACCAACTTGTTGTAGTTACCTGATTAGCTGATTGTGACCCTACTCATAGGCCTATACTGTGCATTTCCATTGCCCGTGCTGTATTGAGTTATAGCATTATATCTTAAATCAGTACTGCACTACTTTCAAACCAGATCAGAGCTGTAACAAGAACACAAACACAGACAGACTCCTGGCTCCACCTGGCCACAAGCGCCAGGACACCCAAAGACACTCAAGCACCACTGCTGTTCATAGCTCATGGGCTCTGCTCATACTGGCCCCACTTTACAGGAGGAAAGTTTGCAAACACAAAATGTTGAAACAGAGCGCTGCATCAGCATTTGTGTGTATGTGTGTGTATATGTGTGGACTCACAATGAGCGCCGTGTGGTTCTTGCTGCGCACTGCCTTGTGGAGGGCTGTGATGCCATCTTTGGTCCTGAAATCCAGATGAGCCCCTCCACTCTTCAGCACCTTGATGAGCTCCGCGCAGCCCTCCAACTGTGCAGCCAGCGTGAGAGGGCATTCTGCAGGCAAATGTGTGAAAGGACTGCTTAGTTACAATTCACTGTTTTATACGGAGATGAGGGCAGAGTTACTCACAGCCACAAACAAAATACATTAATATAATGCTAATGTTTTCCATCTGAAAGAGGGTTACACTATTGCACTGTTTTCATTACAAAGGTGAAATAAATATGTTATCACTTAATATAATCCAATAGTCTAGCTCACTGGCTCTCAAACTCAAAGTACCACCAAAGAAAATATTTGACTTTCCCAGTATCACCAGGTCTAAATCAAGTATAACAGAACTATTTCAGGTCTAATCAAGAGCTGAACAAGTGGGCTACATCAATTCCACTGCAGTTCTAAACAAAAAATTATCCAAAGGAGGTAAAAAAGTGGATAAAATGAGATCTAGGCAAACTCACATACTGGAGAGCTGTCCATTTAGCACCTGAAGGAGCTTGTCTACCAACTGTGAACATGTACCACAGTTCGAAAACACTGGCCTAGCTATTTACTTACAGCTCAGTAATAACAGGGGTGGAAATAACATGGTAACTAATTAATGATTGAACAGTTAAGTTGCTATATCCATGCAAAGTGCTAGTTTATTAGCTATCATTTGTTCTACTTCAGCTTGATGTAAGCTCTAGTTCAGTCAAGTTAAAGCTAAATTGTAAGATATGTTCACATGTATACATAAAATCAATAAACCACAATGGAATAAACTGGGACTAAATTCATAACTAAACCTAAACTAAACCAAGATTAAAACAGGACAAGATCAATAACAAGTCTACATTAGGACTAAACTGGGCTCAAACCAGGTCCAAATCAGGACAAGTGTAATTTGACTTGCAAAAAGCATATTTGCATTGTTTTTGTTCAAATTAATTCAATCCAAATTCAAATTCATATTGTAAAACATACTCCATGTGTTTTCCGAATAGCCATGGAGCCTAATTGTTTTTACCCCAGAGACCCAGCAGTGACTACGCACCGGCCACACTCATCACCGCAGTCTTATAGCCTGTTTCCGGTTAGCACTAGCTCGGTGTATTCTGCTCTTCCATCTCACTACAGGTCAGGCAGCAGGGACAGTCTTTCATGGTGACAAAAACATTTGCATAAGCATGAGGAGATTAACAAAGAAAGTAATCCAGCTTTAGCCAGCGCACACCAAATCCCTGTATGGTCATTTGGCAGTGAAGAGAGATAGAGAACACACAATTATAGGCTTGCAAGACAATGTATGAATATGGGTAATTTGCAGCAGTGAAAGTTAATCGATAATCGGTTGCTTTCTAGAATTTGATGAAGTCATAAGTTCATAAACTCTATGCGAGAGATTTACTGTTTTCTTAAAAGAAATTTACAAATTTATGACCCACAAATGTTGTACCACGTTATCATTATTTGTTAGGGATTAGCTCCACAAACTTGTCATGTTAATCTTATGGTTTTAAGTAATTTTATCTATCACTATACTATCACGTTTTTGGGGTCAAATAATGGCCCTACTTTCTAAAGCTATTCTGAAAAAAGTATTTCACTTTTGTTTCTTTATACTGACAGAAGATTTTAAGCTTTGTGCCAGTTTTTGTTTCATGTAGCTAGGCCCAGTAATTACAGAGATATTAAGAATAACCCTGGTCATCAAACGCAATCTGACAGTTAAACAGTAGTTTCCACAAAAGAATTTAGACCTGTCCTCCAGCTCAATGTTAAATTACAGGGATTCTACAATGTCATGTGACCTACTCTGATTATTCGGGTCATAATACAGTCTTAAGAACAAATTTTTTTTTACATTTTTAAGCAAAAAAGTCATCTCTAATCAGTCTATACTACAAAAAGTGTTTTATTATCTGGATGTTTGAATCACAATAACTTTATCATTCACAAAGTTTCATTTCAAAAAGTTGAGTGTCCACTGCACTGGGTCATAGATCTCAGAGTGAGACAGCGACAAAGATTAAACTTAGAACTGTTGTACGAGCAAAGACGAGATGAGAGCTCCCACCGATGTTAAGCAGGTCTGAAATTTTAGAGTCTTGGTCACAGAGTGAGCCCTCCTCTTTTGCATCTGACATCAATCTTTCTGACCAACAGTAAATACAAGCGCTCCTCAGAGTAAGAGTAGAAGAGCTCCACCGTGAATGAGACCATCCCCTTTAACCTTCCATTTACCAACTTTTTAAACCACTAAAGGTTGTGACAAAAATATGACAATGTGACATCCATAATTTGGACACTCACTGTATCCAAACCAGAGTAAACCATAACAAAACCAAAACCTGACAGAATTCCATACCTCCTGTGTCCGGATCATGGAAGTTTGGGTCCAAGCCTTTCTCCAGGAATCTCGAGACCTTTTCGATGTTTCTTTGCTGCACGTACTCCATAAACTTCTTCAAGTTGGCCTTATGGAGGAAGAGAAAGAGAAAAAGAAGGGATGAAAGGGGGGAGACAGAGGAGAAAGAGGAGTGTGATGTCAGACTCATGTGGACGACCATGTTAAATAATGCAGAGTACAGATGAAAGCTCCAATGCGCTCCTTCTGTGATGAGAGCTGAGGCATGTGAAAAAGACATCACAGTAAAAGGGTGTGGAAATGTGTGAAATAGTCTTTTAATATAAAGACATCGATCGTTATGATATTTGCAGTTTGAGACGATGACCTATTACTCACTGAAGTCTCATTTAAAGGTGTATTATGTAACTTTGCTGGTTATTACTTTGCCTGGAATGTTCCACAGTAAGGCATTAATGTACTATATCTTGCATGAGTTCAATTACAGGTCTTTTGCTCAAAAATACAATGAAAATGCATTCTTGCTCAAAGGGGAGTCGAGTCAAATAGCTCTGACAACTTAAGTAGACAAAGGTCAATATTCTTTGCAACATCAAGACTGAGTTCTAATTTTTATATCAAGTGTTTCAGTTTTCCAATAAGTCAGTTTAAATTAATGCAGGAAAGTTTGGAAATGACATATATGGTTTGTAACTGTCTTAGCTAACAAATGTGATTGGTTGTGATTGTCTAAATCAGAGTTACCCAAAACTATGGCCCAGGGGCCAACTACAGCCCTCATACCAATTTTTGCTGGTACTCAGGAGTTTTGCTGAATTGGCCAAATGATCCTCGACAGTACTTTAAAGTGAAAATTAAAGTATTTTTATGACAGTAAACTCAATAAAGACCCCATTGCATTGTGATACAGAACTAAAATTTGGGTTTCAAGACTTTTTAAAGGTGTTGTGGCTTTGGTCAAACCTTGCTATATTGACCACTGGTATGCGACACTCTGCTACGAATATGTTTCTGTATGTGGCCCTAGGTGAAAAAGGTTTGGACATCTCTGGTACTGTACTGTGCTGCTGTTTTGGCCAGGACTCCCTTGAAAAAGGGATTAGTATTCTCAATGGCTAAATAAATGCTATATAAAATTGAAAAAATCTAGAACTAAAGACAAATTTGATTTAAGAACCACTGCCTTGGAAATACTGACACGACCCAAACACAAATAGCTTATATACAAAACAGCTTTGTGCGTCTATTGAAAAGTGCAAGTTCAACCACTCGGTTATTGTATCTTTCTTATATCATCCCTCATTTTTACATAACGACCACAACACGCAGTCATCTACTCAAACTCATATAAAAAAACACAATTTAGTAGTGGCACTCACCATCAGCTGCCCAGTGCGCTACCTTTGTCCAAATATCAAAAACTACCCCCTCTCCACCGAGCTGCTAGATCCTCTGCTCTGCTCATCCTCAAGTCAAACCCAGAGAGAGAAATTCACTCCTCCTCTCTCTTTCCACATGTTCGCTGAGGCGGTTGTTATGGCGATGGGACACAAAGCGGCTGCTAGTAAGCGTACCAAGGTTGAGTTGTATGTTTTGTGCCAGTCCCCTCAGTCACGCTTTGCTAGTGAAGGTTTAGCTAATATAAGGCGTGGGTGATTCTGACAAAAAATGAATCTGAACTGTTGAGGAGTAGCTAACAGGAAGTAGAAGCAGTTACAAATGGATGAATAGTGTTTACGCAAGCTAACTGAGTGCTTAGATATTTCCGCTCAATTACGTGTGCAAATCTCCTTCAGGTCAACAATCATGGGTAAATTCACTGATCTGTAGTGTAGTATAGTTATTCACACTCATGTACAACTGAACCAGTACGCAAAAAAAATCTTAACAGACCTGTGAGTAGTCTGTGCTCTAACAGTTTTAAAAAGGTTCTGCGATCACAACTGAACTTGGGTTGTGGCCAGTGCTTTAGCCTACATACTGAGAACACATACAAGTTTGTCTCAATCTCAGTATATGGACAGCATGTATTGCAGCAGCATGATTAAAGCGCTGATTAATGCTGGGGTTTGGGTAGTGAGGATTCAGATCAAAGAGAGTCATTTTAGGTTTAAACCAACTAGGATTCTTGAAACTAATAGAGAAATTGTATTTCTGTGCTGTACCAAGGGCACTTACTGCCAGCTCAGTCTTTGTTACCAGTTATCAGAGGTATAATACTCCCTACAACAGAAGGATAGACACATTGGACTGCACTAAACTAGAATGGACTACACTTTCACAGTGTCTTGAGGGTCCATGTTAAGGGTCCATGTTAACCATGTTAACTATCAGTCCCAAACAGATGGTTAATAAATTTCTCCTGTGTTAGAACGTCAGCCTCATGTCTCTTGTCATTAACTTTGGACTATTTCATTTTATTCAACAGAAAATGGCAACCCAAAAGAGAGACTCATGAGACTCAAGAGAGGTTCATGCTGCTTTGGATTACTGTGCATTATTATCTTGAGAACCAAATGGCCAAATGCAAAATTATAATTACAGCAACTAATTAGTATCACTAAATCATGAAGAAAGACTTAATTTATAATGAACAAAAAGTTTATCAAGAATGATTGAGGCTTAAAAATTATACTTCTAAACACTAACAGCTTAATTAAGTAGTTATTCATCTTACTCATCATGTAATTATAAAGTGTAAGCATAATTACTAATAGTCACTAATATCTAACTGATAAGTAGGGATCAATTTCCCTTTCACATTCAGTACAAAGAGAAACACAAGCCTGTCTGTACCAATACATAGCTGCTCACAAGGAAAAAAATAAAAATAAAAAATAATCCCAGGCTTTGAAAGACTGTTGAGCTGAGGTGAAAGAAGTTTGGTTTTGTTCAGACAACCACTAAGTTCCTTCATTTCCCAAGTGTCACTGAAATAAACCTGAAACAAACCTGATTGGACGATACTGACTGACTTTGACCAAAGATGCAGAAAAGGAGGAGGTGACCACACATTCTTTGTACATACACATATAAAAAGAGCAGAAGTCTGGATACCACGCTAGTAGTGATTAACAGGAGACAACCTAGACTTCAGCACTACACGGGTTCAGCAAATAATGAGGAAGCTCTGTAATACACTGGCTTCTGCTAACATGCTAATATTTCCACATAGAGACCACTGGGAGATCCCTGACTACCATCAAGTGAAGCTTTATGGCCCATCACATCAGCCTGGAGCTACTGGACCAACCAGGAAGTCAACCCGCTGAAACAAGTGCAAATCAATCACTGATGAGAGCACATAGGGGACTGTAACGTGGATGTATGTGCTCAATATTCTATCACAACAACAACAAAAAATGTTATGTTATCAATACAACAGCCTATAACTAAAATCAGTGGTAACAAAATTAAACAATGCAAAACTAGTGCTGTACTTAAGTAAAAATGTAGGTATCTGTACTTTATTTAAGTAGATTTAAATTGGATACATCTTACTTTTACTTCATTACATTTTTGAACTGGACTGAAAAGTAAGTATTTTATTATTCTCTGAACTGCTGAAAAGACTGAGGGTTTATTTTTAGCAAGTTTATAGTTTGAGCAAACAAAAATGTACAAAAAACAAAAACAAAAAAAAAACAGATATAAAAACAACAGAAAAAAAAAACCAATCCATTCAATTGTTAGTGTTGAACAAAATTCAGCACAAATCTGTATCAAAATCACTGTCTATCACTAACTGTGCCCCAGTTATGACAAAATAAATGTCCAAATTATAGCTGAAAGAACTCCTTAAATTGAGTTGCCAGTTTCTATGGCTAAAAATATCTTCTTTTTATGTGTCCTCCATATATGGAAGCTAATGGTATCCTAGTCCACAGTGTAATATTGTTATCATGTTGAAGTATTTATTTTGATTAGTATAACGCCACTTGCTGCATACACTAAAAGCAAAGCTGAGTACTTCCTGTAAATGGGTATAGTACTGTCATACCAAGAAAATGTTTATCTTCTGACTATAAAGAAAGTAACAGGATGTTTACCACTCTTTAATGCCCTTACAGAAAACACTACATTTGATATAGGGGCATTACACCCAGTGACAGCAGAGTTACAAATGAATCATGTTTTTAATTAAGATTTCATCAGACGGCCTCCTCTGCATAAAGGCCTGAAGTCAATAAGGGTGAGGGTCCCCAGTGTGAGGAGAAGCCTCATTAAAGGCCCCAGTGCTCTATCTATTGTGTGGGTAAGGCTCACATGGGTTTGGAAACACTAATCACACAATGCACTAGTATATTTTATTCTCAATGTATAAATATAATCTGTCACAAAAACATTTTAATATCTATGTTGCATTATAGTATAGAGTATTTCTGAGTTGATTGCAATACAAAGAATCACATTATAAGAATGGTAAAACTATAATCTTGTCCAAGATCATTTAGCAGCTAATGTCTCTATATGATAATTAGCCTTAAATGTGCACACAGATTTTTTCCACCTGACAAAAAGACAGTGCCTTTATCTGACTGAGAAGCTGGCAAAGACATAATACTGGCAGGGGGTCAGTCCTCTGATGGGTATCTAACAGACACCTCATCTACACAGGATATTCTGAACTACATATATGTAACAAAATCCAAAGACCAGTAATGAAGGTTCAAACAATGCTATAGATCGCTAGTTTACTCAAATGTGCATGGATGACATCTAAAACCTCCTCAGACATGTTGTTGATGAGGGAACAATGTTATTACATGGAAATTTATTATTTAAAAAGTTTGACTAATCCAGCATTAGTCGACAGTTTAGCTTCATGCCTCATAAGCACAAAATATAAACAAATATCATATATCACATATCAAGATATCACATTGTGTTACTTTCCTCCCCCTCTTTAACCTACATGTCTTCATTGTATTTTCTGCATAGTCCGCTCCTGCTCATATAAAAGCCAGAGTGCAGGGCTAATGTAGTATTGAATAGGCTGTGCTGTGTGCGTCCATGTGCAAGCTCATGTATAGAGGCAGAGAGGATGTGTGTCAAACACGCTCACTGGCCTACATTTGCTATCATTACTCTGCATCCACAGCTGCCCAT